TTTAGTGTATTCAAAGTCAGAAGAAGTGTATAGTTCACATTTAAAAATTGTTTTACATATTTTGAGAGAAAAGAAGCTTTATGCCAAACTCTCCAAATGTGAATTCTGGTTGAAATAAGTGACGTTCCTTGGACATGTGATTTCTGTAGAAGGAATTCGAGTGGATCCCCAAAAGATTAAAACCATTTTAGAGTGGGAAGTTCCAAAGAATGTGTCAGAAGTCTGGAGTTTTCTGGGGTTAGCTGGTTATTACCGAAGGTTTGTTAAAAACTTTTCGATAATAGCATTACCCCTAACTAAATTATTGAGGAAAGAGGTAAAATTTGTGTGGACTCCGGAGTTCCAAGAGATTTTTGAAAGGCTAAAGAATATTTTGACAGAAGCTCCAGTGTTGATTCAACCCAAGTCTGGCAAGAACTTCGTAGTGTATAGTGATGCATCTCATAATGGCCTGGGATGCGTGCTAATGCAAGAGGGTAAAGTGGTAGCGTATGCATCGATGCAACTAAAACTGTATGAAAAGAATTATACCACGCACAATCTAGAGATGGCTGCAGTAGTATTTGCTCTTAAGATCTGGCGTCACTACTTGTATGGTGAACGATGTTATTTGTATACAGATCATAAGAGTTTGAAATATTTAATGACCCAAAAGGAGTTAAATTTAAGATAGAGAAGATGGGTGGAATTCTTAAAAGATTATGATGTAGTGATCGATTTTCATCCAAGGAAAGCGAATGTGGTAGCGGATGCCTTAAGCCGAAAGATGTTTGCAGCCTTACGAGCTGTGGATGCCAGACTATCGTTAAGAGGAGACGGTGCCATATGTGCAAAATTGACTCTCAAGCCATCATGGCTAGATCAAATTAAAGAATTGCAAGCTAGAGATGAAAAGTGTATAAAGAAGTTACAACAGATAAGGAATGGAGAGGTTACGAATTATGAAATGAAAGCTGATGGGAACCTATATTATCATGGGAGGCTAATGATTCCATATGATGATGAGTTGAAGAAAGACTTGTTAATGGAAGCTCATTGTAGTCCATTGACTATGCATCCGAGAGGAAATAAAATGTATATGGATCTCAAGAGTTGATATTGGTGGTCTGGAATGAAGAGAGACATTACAGAATTTGTATCCAAATGTTTGACGTGTCAGAAAGTCAAAGTTGAACATCAGGTTCCGTTAGGATTATTGCAACCAATGTCTATTCCTCAGTGGAAATGGGAGAATGTAACAATGGATTTTGTAACGGGGTTACCTTTGACTCCGAATAAAAGAGATTCCATCTGGGTGATTGTAGATAGATTGACTAAGTCAGCTCATTTTATTCCGGCCCGAGTTGACTTTATCTTGGATAAGTATGCCGAGTTGTATATCAGGGAGATTATACGTTTACATGGTGTACCTGTTTCTATTGTTTCGGATCGAGATCCTAGATTTACTTCACGATTTTGGAAATCATTACATAAAGCGTTAGGAACTCGATTGAACTTTAGTACAACATTTCATCCTCAAACCGATGGGACCTTATGAAGCTCTTTATGGAAGAAGATGTTGTACGCCCCTAAATTGATTCGACCTTAAAGACAAAGAAATTCTTGGTCCTGAGTTGATCCAGGAAGTGGAAGAAAAAGTTCAAGTAATTCAAAGTAATCTCAAAGCAGCAGCTGATAGACAGAAATCATATGTGGATCTAAAAAGAAAAGAGATCGAATATCAAATTAGAGATAAAGTGTTTCTCAAAGTGTCTCCTTGGAATAAGGTTTTGAGGTTTGGTCGAAGAGGAAAGTTGAATCCTCGGTTCATTGGACCTTACAAGATAGTAAAAATAGTTGGATCAGTGGCATATCAATTAGAGTTGCCACCTGAAATGGAGAAAATTCATGATGTCTTTCATGTCTCAATGCTTCGAAAGTATCGATCTGATCCCTCTCATATTGTGACTCCATAAGAGATCAAGATTCAGCCAGATCTAACGTATGAGGTAGAATTGGTTCAGATCTTAACTCATGAAGTTAAGCAGTTAAGAAACAAGACTATTCCATTAGTTAAAGTCTTGTGGAGAAATCACAAGATAGAGAAAGCAATGTGGGAACGTGAAGAGGACATGAGGATTCAGTACCCCCATCTCTTCACGTAACGAAAATTCGAGGACGAATTTTTTTAGGGGGAAAATTTGTAACATTCTCAATATCGAGTTAGTGACTAAATTGTAAAGTTTTAGAATTTGGTGATTAAAGTATAATAATTGAACAATTAAGGACTTATATGAAAAATGTGGTGTAGGATCAAATTGGAAATAAGGAGGAATAGAAGGACAAAATAGTCATTGACAAGGGAAATAATTTAATTGTTATGGTTATATATGTTTCCACGTGGAGTGAAGAGAGAAATACATAAGCTTCCAGAGTTCTCTTATTCTCTTCTTTTCTCCCAACGTGAAGACTCGTTGCAAATGTGAGATTTCTCATAAGCTGATTGTTAGTTGAAATTTAAGTTTGGTTTTGATCCTTAGATGATAATTAAGTTTAAGTAAAGCTTAATTTACTTTAAAACAACAAGATGAAGGGTGTAGGAAGAATTAAAGGTTCTTGAATGAAATCTTGAAATAGAGTTCATATTTAGAATCGGAGGTTGAATTTGACTTGTCATCGACTTAATTAAGACATACAAAGTGTTAGAATTAGATTTAGAACATGTTGGAATTTGAGGGAGATTATTGAAATCTATATGGAGGATTGGATTTTTAAGTTTAAGAGGTATTGAATGGGTATTAATTAGTTTAAGTAGGTGTATGCAAGTTAAGGATATAAAAAGAGGGGAAATATAAAGTGTTGAGAAGATTATGAAGAGATTTTCGTGCTAAAATAACATTTCTGGGATATGTGCATCGATGCACATTCAATGTGTACCGATACATCAAAGGTAAAATCCCATAAATTGTTCAAGGTGTATCGATGCACATGAAGTGTATCGATGCACTCCTTTAAAATAAAAACATCGAATGCCATCAGTGTATCGATGCACAAGTAGTGCATCGATGCACCCCCTTAAAATAAAAACATCGAATGAGATTTATGTACCGATGCATAGATAGTGCATCGATGCACCCGTCAAGGGATGCATCGATACATGGTGTAGTGCATCGATGCATACCTTCATTAAGAGATGAAAATAACTTTATTTTTAGCTTAAGGAGTGATAGTTTAGAATATATTAATTAGTATAGAACGTAATTTCGTTCCGGAACAAACGAAGGATTAGGATCAAGTCAAAACAAGCAAGGCCAAGGTGAGTGTATATCCTAGATGAAATAGAATTGAGATAAGACTTGCGATAAGTCTATCTCTTAGCAGTGAATTTATGATTTCATATTCACGCACATGAATACATATATATGTGTTAACATTATAGTGATTCCATGCATTTTTCATTCATGATTTAACATGATATTATATGAATAAATGTCATTATCAGAGAATCCTTCTAGGTATGTGAAATAATGAAAATAATCATATGAAGTGACTTATGTGTTTACATGGACAACGATGAAAGAGATATGAAATGAGAAATGTATTTATAATTAAGCTCATGTTATTTAATATGAGAGCTGTAGGTATAATTGGCATGCCAAGAGTCGAGGGATTATCAGTGGTCCTTCGAGACATAGTGGTCCTTCGGAATATAGTGGTCCTTCGGGAAAAATATTCAGTGCCCCTAGTGGGATTTTATTCGAGCTGTGGTGACAGCATTGTGCACAACCTCAGCGTACTCGCTTACCATCTGTTCTCAATAATGTACATGGGCAATCCAAAGATAAATTAAAGTGGAATTAGCATAAGAATATATGTTTTATATGTGCATGTCACCATCATATATGTTATAGTGTAACAAATGCATGCAAATTAAGAGGTCACATATGGTAAGAATGCATGTTCATGAATGCATTGTTATATCAATATATTTATATTATGCCTCACTAAGTCTATGACTTAGCGTGTAAGTGATTTACACATAGGTACCAAGAAGCAAGAAGAGCAGTAATAGAAGTGGCAATGACAACATCTCTACTAAAAGATCAAATCAGAAGTAATTGACAAAGTATATATTTTGGTTGTGTATAGAGTTTTGGCATGTAATAAGTTGTTAATTACGAATGCTCTGATCAATTTTATATTTTATTGTCTCTTTTATGTAAATTAACGTATTTTGTTTTAATGAAAGTTTAAAATTTCCCTGTTTTTCTTTAAATGTCAAAGTTTGAAAAGTCAATGTGACACTTCAGACTCGTACTCGGGTCGGGTATGGGTTGAGGGTGTTATATAAGCCATTGAAGAGATGGGAGAAATTTTTATATAAGCTTTGAAAGAATAGTGTTGTAAATGTGAAATCTTATCCTTGAAAGGTTCAATTCAAGTCAGTGAACTGAGAAATCTTTAGTAGTAGAAAAGTAAGATAGTAGGTGTAGACTTTGGTTAATAAAATCTAACCAATCTAAATCAATTGTTTTACTTTTAATAAAGTTTCCACCAAATATTTTAAAAGTCATTTCACACCCTCTTGATTATTTTCATTTGATTGATCGAGCTAACATATTATTTTATTAATTTAAAGTTTTACAAATTTGAAAGACCTAAATCATAAATTTATCATTTTAAGAGGGTTAAGGAAGATTCGAATCGTTTTGTTTAGTTCAAATGGTTTCTGGTTTTCTTAGCCGACATGATCCACCAAATCGAGAAGGCTTTAGACTTAACAGATACAGATGGACGGTGGAATCATCCTAACTAATGCCAAATCTTTGTTTCACCATCCTTCCAAATCATCATTACAGTTTCCACCAAATATATAGCTCACTCCATTACAGCATCCATTTCAAAACCATTGCATGGCCGCCTCAGGTTTTAGTTTAGCTGCCGGCGGCTTGCATATGGCGTTAAAAGCTTCCGTTTTTCCGTTCCATTGCGGACAATAAACAAGAAGAAGCTTTAAAGACATGGTGAAGGATGTAGAGCGGATGAAGATGGGGACAACATCAATATCGTCATTATGCGAGTTTGAAACGGAAGAGTTGCAACGGATGCCATTGGTGCCTCCGCCATTGATGAAAAACTGGAGGTATTTGTCAAAGCAGTTGTCGCTGGGCGAAACGTCTCGGGAGATGGCTTGGGAGAGAAGGCGGCGCCAGATTCTTCGTCAGCAGAGAGGGAAAAATGGGTTGACTGATGATGATTTGCATGAACTTAGAGGTTGCATTGAGCTTGGATTTGGATTCAACGAAGAAGATGGTCAGAAACTGTGCATCACGTTGCCTGCTTTGGACCTTTATTTCGCCGTAAACCGTCAGCTTTCGCCTAGTCCACCTGAAAGCGGACGTTCTTCATCTACTTCTTCACTTGGTGGCAGATCATCGTCTTTTGACAGATCTGTAAGTGAGCCAGCTGATTGGAAAATTTGCAGTCCACGTATAGGATTTTGATTCCAATACGATTCAAACCTTTCATATTTATGTCTATGCCTTTGTAATACCCCCCAAATATACAATACTTAGAATGTTGGGTAAACTACGTATTTAGTTACCCATTTATTTTCGTGGTTTTGTTCTGGTCATCCAACTTTTTATTTTTCAAAATCATATATATCGTTATGTTTTAATTTTATTTTGTTATTGTCAAAAAATAACCCTCATATTTACTAAAATGATCATTTGACCCCATTATTTCATTTTGGGGCAAAAAGACCCTCTATGGATAGAAATCGTTAATTAATAAACAGTTAACGCTCCAAAATATGAGTTTTTTTTTATCACAAATGAAATATCGAGGGCCAAAATGCTCAAAAAATTAGAACAAAAATGACCATTTTTGTAAATATTGGGAGCCAAATTTTGGCATTATTCATTCTGTTTTAGTCACCGTCGTTACAAAATAAAAAGAGCTACTAATGTAACAATTTTTATATATTTTTTTCAATGACAACGTGACAATATATGGTGACACTTCAGTATCATCATTAATTTTTTAACAACGGGTGACCTAAACAGAACCAAAACGTTACATTAGGTATGATTTTAAAAGAAAAAAATAATTAGATGACTGAAACAAAATTGTAGGAATAAGTGAACGAATAAATATATAGTTTACCCTAAAATATTTTACTCCCCTTAATGACACTGAAAAGCTAACTATTAGGGTGAGAGAACCTAGTTCCATAAAAACCCTACAAGAAAGCTCATATCTTTTTCATGTGGGATCCAAAAATCTCATACTTTTCAATTGGCACAGATTAGATAAGAGCTTTTGTTGTTGGTTTCTTGAACTCAACTGTAATTTACCTAATTGCTTTCAGGGAATAATCCACAACAAGTGAAGACTAAGCTAAGAAATTGGGCTCAGGCTGTGGTATGTTCTCTGATGCAATCGTATTAACCAAGTTTGGGCTGCTTATAGTTATACAGATGCGGAAAGCAAAATGTATTGTTTCAACTCATGTCACTAATTTAAGAGAATCATATCTGTTATACCATCCCAGTAGTACATCTGTTAGAAATTTAAATAACACTTGGTTATTGGAACATAGGCTATTATATAATGGCTTTGGAATAGTCCAAAACCATTATTGCATTAACGTCATATTCGTATTACAAATAATAACATTTATTATATCTACAATTACGATAACTGCAACATAATAAAAAACACGACCACAACTCTATAGGTTAAAGTCTATACAGAAACTAGAATCGGAATACCAATCACTCAACGCTCTCCAATCTTATATTCCAGAATAGGATTGTACCGCTCGATACATATCATTAGTAAGACAACAATTCAGTCTGTTTAGTATTTTCTTTGCTAAATAGAACATTTGACAGCGAATTGATACAACAGACATTAAACTGACTTATTTACAGGTTCTACTTTCAGATATCCACTAATTTATAGGTGCCACGTGGTCAGAGCCGTCTAGGGTATTCTCGGGGCCCTAAATGAAAATTAAAAAAATAATTCCCTATAGAATTAAAGTATATTCTATTACTTTGAATAATTAATTTAATATTATATTAATAAATCATAAAAAAATAATTAAATTTTGTCAAACAATTCAATTTGTTAAGAAAATACTTTCAATACAACTAAAAGATAATAAATATTAAAAAAAACACTAACTTATTCTTTATTGTCATTTTCTTTAGTAATCTTGGGTCAGTGTGAGCTTATATAGTGTCGCAACCGTCTTTCGGTTGGGCCCCGGAATTGGGCTTCGACTTAGGAAAATGTAGATTGGAGTCGCCACCGATCATTTATTTAAAAATAAATGGGTTGATCGGATACCCTATTTCTTACCTGATCTGCGTCTTATCAGAGATGTGTCGGATTCGGGAGTCGGTTACAGTCAAGGAAGGGCTAGCACCCTTGAACTGCCCTTTCGGTACTGTGTAATTTCCAGTTGTCTTTAATTAAGGAAATTGAAAGTTAAATTACAAGGTAAAATATTGATCCAAATTGCTTACCACTGATTGTTTGAAGTTCTCTCAAAAAGCCAAGGAAAGGGTTAGGTAATGAAAGTAATAAAATAGAAAAATAAGGCGAACAAACGAAATAATATAAAAAAACAATGTATACAAAAAAAAAAGAAAGAATGAAATATGACTAAATATAAAATAAAATATGCAAAGGAAAAAAACGAAAATACAAATAAAGAAAAAGAAGAAAAATATAAATGGATAAAAAAATACACATAATAAAATAAAATATAAAACAATGAAAATGAAATAAAAAGAAAAAAAAATATGCGTAATATACATATAATAAAAATAACAGTTATAATAGTAAAAATAGTAATGAAATAATAATGATGAAAATAATAAATAATATATATATATATATATATATATATATATATATGTAGAGTATAAAAAATACATAAAAGATATATAAAAATAAAAGGTAAAAAAAATGAGTAATACATATACGTATATAATAATAAAAAATATAATATAATAGCATAAATAAATAAATAATAATAATAGTAAAAAATAAAAGGGGAAAATAAATAAAAATGGAATAAATAATTAATGAATGAAACGAGAAATATATATATTAAAGTATTAAAAAGGAAAAATATCAATAATAGGTAAAATGAATATATATATATATATATATATATATATATATATATGTATACACATACATAAATACAAAAAAAAATGTTAATAGAAATATAATTATAAGATAAAATGAGTAAGGTTGGTAAATAATAAAAAAAATACATATATAACGTATAAAATTATAAGATGTAGTAGCTAGATAAAGAAATGACCAAAAAGTTAATTAAAATAATATATATGTATTAACACTAAGTATATAGATGAAATATATAGAAAATACGTATATATACATATATAATTACATGATATGGAATGAATAAAAAAGGTTAGTATAAGTATTAAATTGCATCAAAAACAAGTTAAGTGGCTAAATTGAAAGAAAATCAGAATTAGAGACCAATTCAAAAGCAAATTCGGGGTCAAAATAATTCTTTAAAAGCAGCGAGGGACCAAAAGGGTAGTTTACCCTTTACTTCGTAAACATGCGCAGATCAGGAGATTGGGTCGGGTATACACGCGGTTTAACTGGTTAATATAAGTGTTTAAGAAAAAAAAAATTAAACCTTCATTCTAATCTCTCTCGCCGAACCCTCTCTTCTTCTCTCCCTTTTCTCTGGTTTTGTTCTTGAGTTTCAAGAACAGGCCACCGTGGCCTGAGAATGGTGGCCACCGCCTCGCCGCCGCTCATCGGCGATGGTCCACCATGAAACCTGTTTCTTTAAAATCCGTTCTCTTCCCACAACCCAAAAATCCCAGTAGATCTTCGAAAATCGCCTTAAAAAACGCAGATCTGGGAAATAGGTTTCGAAAATAAAAGCCTCACTTCGTTCATCGGCCAAAACGTTTTTTTGTTATTTGTGTGGTTTTGAAGTCAAATCTCAAGCAACACTCAACATGCAACAGTGAAAGACGAGTGAACAGAGGTAAAAGATGCTACCTTCTTCTTATTTCCTTTTCGAAAGTATTACAAAAGGCTTCGAAACTGCTTGATATCAATATTTCGTATGACTTTCTTTCCAAGTTCGTAGTGATTTTTTTTTTAAAAGCTTCTAATTACATGGCTTTATAGTGATAACCTAGGCTATTTTTAGAGTTTTAATCCGAGTAAAACTCGGTTTGTTTGTGGTCACAATCCATGACTCTGACTTGGTTGTTTGTCTTGGGTGTTCTATGTGGTCACGATGCCGAGAAAACCGGATGTGGGAGACGTGCTGCGCGAGGGAGCTTCGACCGGGTATTGCGGCGCTGGGGCGAGAGTCTTGCTAGGGTTTTCTGGGCAACCCTTGGATACCATTTGCTGTGGACCGTTGGATCTCATCTAGATCCAACGGTCACCATTGTTGGCGGCTGGATGAGAGGTTGAGAGATTAGGGTTTACACAAACCCTAATCCATACTGGTTTGGGCAGCTGGGTCACTTGGGTCATGTGGGATTTGGGCCATTACTGTTGGGCCTGTAACAGGAGAAAAAAGAATATAAATAAACTATATATATATATTATAACTTATAACATAATATAATATTATATATATGTATGTATTATGATGGACGAATTTAAGTGTCTTCAGTTGCCCCTCTTTGTTCATTATCGTGCAATGAAAATAGAGCAAAGATTAAAAGACACAAATTTCGTCCACATCAACTATTCTTGATCATGAAATGATTCCCTTGTCGTGAGGTTGAGTCAAAACTGGAAGATTCTGAGTATGAGTCATTCGTTGTGAAGTTTGGCTTCGAGTTAGATATCCTCCGTCGTGGAGTTGAAATCTACTCTCGAGCAAATTGTGTTGTTTCGAGTCCAATATCCTTCGTTGTGAAGTTGAAATTGGCTCTGAAATTGAGAAATGTTTGTTGACAACCAGCGGTCCCTTCGTCGTGAAGTTGAACTTGCGTTGTCTGGAGTCCAATATCCCTCGTTGTGAAGTCGAAATTGGCTCTGAAATTGAGAAATGTTTGTTGACAACCAGCGGTCCCTTCGTCGTGAAGTTGAACTTACGTTGTCTGGAGTCCAATATCCTTCGTTATGAAGTTGAAATTGGCTCTGAAATTGAGAATGTTTGTTGACAACCAGCGGTCCCTTCGTCGTGAAGTTGAACTTACGTTGTCTGGAGTCCAATATCCTTCGTTGTGAAGTTGAAATTGGCTCTGAAATTGAGAAATGTTTGTTGACAACCAGCGGTCCCTTCGTCGTGAAGTTGAACTTACGTTGTCTGGAGTCCAATATCCTTCGTTGTGAAGTTGAAATTGGCTCTGAAATTGAGAAATGTTTGTTGACAACCAGCGGTCCCTTCGTCGTGAAGTTGAACTTACGTTGTCTAGAGTCCAATATCCTTCGTTGTGAAGTTGAAATTGGCTCTGAAATTGAGAAATGTTTGTTGACAACCAGCGGTCCCTTCGTCGTGAAGTTGAACTTACGTTGTCTGGAGTCCAATATCCTTCGTTATGAAGTTGAAATTGGCTCTGGGTAAAACCTGCAAAGATATGCATATATGTGATGTTATGGATGTCATGCTCTTAGGTATGCCTAAAATGCATATGCAACATATGTTATTCTGAGCTCTGGAGAGTAATCTCGATCTCCGGCGGCCTGTCGTTGTTGACTCTTGAGCTTGAAGTTCCGATCTCTGATCTTAAATTCTTCAAATGTTTGATGATTTTTTTTTTGAAGATGCTCCTCAACCATCTCAAGCATGTGCATGAGCCTTGATCGGCTTCTGGGTACCTGTATTTTTCAATGAATCTTTGTACAGCAATATGCGATTATCTTTAATAAAAATAAATAAACCATTAGGTTTAAATCTAATTCAAGATGCTCAAAAGGTATTGGAGGAAAGATGGTCTTTATTCATAAGGGAGGAGAAGAACAAATAATACATGGCAAACATTCTAGAAAACGAATACACAATGATGTGTAAATGAATGTCTTAGATCTCGATAACGTGGGCACTTCTGAGTTGAAAAGCCGTTTGGTGACTTTGAATGCAGCCTTTGCCAAAGGATCTTTGAAAATGCGACAACGTTTGGGAGGGTGCAACATTTCTCCGATTTGTTGAGTTCGTAGAAGATTCATGTGCCAGGATGTTTCCACCGTTGATATCCAAATCGCCCTTTCCGGGTTTTCAACTTGGACCCATCCTTAGTTGCAAGACGCCCTTTGCGGGTTTTCATCTTGAACTCACCTTATTTTCTCTTATTTTTCCCTCTTTTTTCTTTTTTCAATTTAGGGTGCCCTTTCGGGTTTTCACCCTAAACGTTTTTTTTTTTTTCAACTTAGGACGCCCTCTCGGGTTTTCATCCTAAGCGAAGTATTTCTTGACT